TCTAATATATTTGAACGCGAACTTGATATTTAAAATGTATAAAATAAATTTCTAAGTAGTATTAATTTTTATCCCATAATTTGTTATTAAAATCAACCACGACGCATCGTAAACTGATGCAACGGTGTCTTTCGCGCTATAAAGAGTTGAAAAATTGCATCGACGAAAACGATGCCAACCATGCTTATTTGTATTCGTCGATTTGCATTCGTTGCGAGGGTTTGAGAGCTCGTTACGGCAGCGCGAACGTATCGCGAGGATATCGTATTTATCTAACACGTGCTCGGAAGACGCGTTCGTGCTGTGCAGGAGGCTCGATTTCAATATCAGGGGATAGAGGCCCGGTTAGAGATACAGGAGATTCCTCGAAATTAATATAGAACTCGTTTGTATGCAACGAAAGGAATACGAGCAGCTGGATGTACCGAACCTTTGCCGTGGCCTCTTAAGAACGACTCGTTACGCAGTCGTTAAATTATCAGCAAGATGTTAAATAGGAATTTAATATTCGAAAGTTTAACAGATCCTCGGTAAAAATTCTCCTCCGAGTTAGTTCTTTATTGCGTTCGAGGCATCGAAGAAGTTAAATAATAGCAGATATCGTTGATATAAAAAAGAAAGTGTATGAAGAAGATTCGCTTAGGTACTCGTGTACTCGGTTTTTAAAGTTAGAAAAATTTAAAAACTAGAATCGATTGGTTTAACAGCCGAGCTCGATTATTACAACGATTTTCGTTCATACAACGTGAGGTTCGCGCTATCCTATCCTAACGTCGCTATTGTCAAACTCGCTTTCAACGGCCGCCATCGTACACGCACTCAAAGAAAGGAACAAAAGTGGAGAATCAGGCCAAACAGGTCGACGAAACTGCAACGCGCGGAAGGCGTATCCACCGTGCTTCCTTCGTTAAAGAGTGGCGTGTGGAAGCTTTTGTAAGCCGACCAACGATCGTCGTCGACTTGGAAAGGAAAGCACGTGTCAAAGGCGCGTTCACGGTTGTCTTCGTCTGCCCGTTGTCGTCATCCGCCAAGAGAAAATTGCGACGCTCGGTGAAAATGAGATGGTAGCGAACAAATGTACAAACGAGACAGAGAATAAATAGGAGAAAAGTCGAAAGAACGCAGGACGAGTAAAACTAGCGAAAGAAATCGTGAACTAACGAAGAAAAAGATAGAGAAAGAATGCAAAAGCAAGAAGAGAAGCTGGTTCCAAGCTCGAGAAGGGTAGCACAATGGAACCATATAACACTGTCCACGATGCGGACCATTAGCGGCATATATTCGAATGCACGCTCTCTCTGGCTCGTATGCATTAAATGAACAGTCTAGTGCGCACCAGGATAGGTGCAAACGCGCAAGAGGCAAACGTTTTCCCACGGCACCCTACCTGATATTGCACCTACTGGTATATATGCCGATATCGAGGGTAACGTTGCTACCAGTTGCAAAATTATTCCGTATGCCGTGGCCGCATCGAAACTTCGAATATCGCTGACAGGGAGAAAGAGAGAGAAAGGGGTGGTTGGAATGAGCGGTGAGTTTATACGGTAGACGAGTTGAATAGAAACGCTCGCTGCGAGATGCAACGATAGAGAGTAACGCATTCATTCGGTTCGCCATCGGACTACACCGGTTCCTGTTCCGACTTTTGTGATTGATAACGAACGAGGCGAGGATGAAAAAGATTCGCAGTGACCAGGTTACGGCGAGAGTTTACGAGAATCGAGATTTTTCTTACTTGTTTCTTCTTAACGCTGGAATTACCTTCGATAAACTTCTTAAATGGCCTTTTTGCGACGAATGTTGCGGGATAATGGCAGTTAGAAGGTTGGCTATCGTGATAAGAAAAGAAAATAGTAGTTCGAAGATGCCATTTATTATGTAACAAGCTAATATTTTAAAAAAAGGATACGAGAAAATCCTCTTACAAAATCGATTTCTTCGGTAAGTAAGTTCCATGTACTAAAGGTTCAACAATCTCGTGAAGGATCTAAAGGTTACACAAACCAACAGGTGAATATCCATTTAAGTTTAGCTAATCACGATATAACCGTTGCTGCAGACAAATGCATTATATAGATAGATTTTTGAAAGGATCCAAGTAATCAAGGAACTCGTTTATTCCAACAGCACAGTCACGTTCTGAAAGTGTTCTCCGTGTTACGGTGAATCGAACTACACGCGGAGTGAAAAAATTCATTCGACCTATCAAAGCAGAAACGAACAGTCGTCGACGGGTGGTTCGCCTTCGCTTCCTGAATCAGTCTATTCTGATTCCTAAAAAGTGAATGCTAGCTAAATTACAGCGTCGGTTAATCTCGGCTCGTTTCGTATGCAGGACCGACGCCGTACCCCTTCCCAACCTTCTCCCGCTGCTCTTTTCTACACACTGTTGGCCAGCCAGCCAATTAGCGTTATCCGCGAGAAAAACTTTGCGAGTTCAACCTTGTTTTTCTTATGATACGCTTTGCAAATTTTCGAGATGAAGATAAGTGGATGAATAAACAGTTTACCAACTGTGACTAGATCGTATTTGCTTGTTAATTTGATGGGCGTAGAAAAGGATTCGAGATTGGAAGAAGTAAATTATTAGGTTTAGGTTAGGTATGGTGAATTAATTTCATTTCATCGTATCGCGTATCGAGTTAAATAAATTATTACAACGTAATTCGCTCGTAATTCTTTCCGATTTTGTGTCTCGAACTTGTAGCGGCACATGAGTCAGAGGGCGATGCGAATCGAGAGCGACTCATGTTGTTTTGCCACGGGACATTGACACCGTCTTAACGCACGAAACGTAACGATAAACAAACTCCGGACAAAACAATATCGCCGCTACGTGCAACCGTCAACCGAAGTCGAATTTAAACTTTCTTACTCCCCCGACCAATATAAATAAACGAATACGATCTTTAGAACAACCAGTATCGAGCATTCTTATGAGCGAACGTAAACATTGACTTGTAAACGCATATCTGCGAATAAGTTTAAATACATTTGACTATACAGAGTATTAACTCATCTTATCGCTATATACACCAACACGTTTAACCGTCCACCACAAACTAATTCAATTTTCTGCCATGAAAGATACAAATAACATGCTGATTGATCACTATCCTGCAGCTACTAGCCATTGAAACCAACTTATCCACGCATATTATAAATAATACCATTACGTCTGCGGGCGTCTTTCGTTGTACAAAACGATTCCTCGAATCCTTAAACACGAAGTTTCGAAACTTAAAGCAAATATCCTGTAGCGAGGCGAGCCCACATCGTGTCCGTATACTTGCGGATTAGAATCCACGACAGTATCAACAACGTGGAATACAATCGTTTACGCACGCGGTCCAACAATCTATTTACCCGAGTCTGAAGCATACTCCGACCGTCCACGTGACATAATCTGCAGCTCCGTTGCGAGTTATCGAGTTCATCCATACCCAAGTTCGATCAACGCCGGCTTAACTATTTAGAATCTCTAACCGTAGTTCTGGGATTTGCTTTGACGAATCAGTGTAGAACATCCGCGTCTGACGACGAATTCGAACCAGTCCACTGTTCGTGGCATGCATTGTGCGACCTATGCATGCATGCACGATGTTTGCACTGCTTGGTCGCCACGATTATTGTCCAGCGCTGTTTGGCCGTGTGTACGTACCAGCGGAAAACTGGAAACCTCTCTCGAATCGGATTCGAGAAGTTCTATGTCTATATCGTGAAGCAGAGTGCGGAACTCGCTCGAGAGCCGCTTTCTAATGTTCGTGGCGGCTGTATTTGGTGTGTGTGAGGAAGTTTCGAACGATAGCTTCCTGCGCTAGACAGAGAACGACCGGAAAAGTGGTCGTCCCGCATACGTAAGTTTGCCAAGATTTATGGCGCACGCGAGACGACTGCCCGAGAAAAAGATAAGACTCGAACGAGATACGAGTGCGACGGAAGAAAGCGCTACGGACACTGGCATTACCCGACTTATTTACCGGAGATGTTTGCAACCGGAGAAGGTGGGTCCAGCGAACGTCGTCGAACGAAACAAGCAATCGCTTTGAATTAGGAAATCTGCAGCTGTTTGTGAAAATAAAAGATCGTTAAACTCGTTAAAGACAACTGCTGTATCCGCGCGACATCGATAACGCACGAAAGACTACATTATTTAATCGTGTAGATTAAAAAAGAAGAAAAATTGAAATTTCTCCTTAGACATTAGACGTCGATGCAGGTATCGATCATTTCGAACAAGAAGATTACGAATTACGAATTACCGTAGGAACAAACACCAACGAGGATTATTGGATCCGGGGAATTTAATTGATTCAAAACACGGTATGGCACAACTTGCATACGGATCTATTGACCGCGCATAATCTAGCCAAACCCATCCATTCCAATTCGTATTCCAACATGTTTCCATTCAATTTCGAGTTCGTCGCTTACGAGAAGTCTAATTTGAAAATCAACCGTGTCTTAGGCTAACACGCGTACTTCCGTCGGTTACCGGTTGCGACGACAATGCAACCGCGGTCCGTAAGCCAGGATT